GGGGCTTTGGGATATAGGATTTTGTGCTGCGGGGGCTGTAGGTTTGGGGCTGGGGTTTGGTGTTCCAGCCCAGCACGAGGTGTTTTCCCAAAAGGAAAAGTTTGGAGGAAAATGGGGAATTTTCTCCTTTGTTGGTCCCATTGTGGGCTCGGACCCGTCCCGCTGTCGCTGGATCCTTCTGGAGCCCTCTGACAAAAGGGTTCCGTTAATTTTCCGTTAATTCATCAGCTCTGCTCCTCTTCCAGCCCTCGTCAGCATCATCCCCGTGCCCTCAGCCCCACGTTCGCACCCCATTCACCCCCCCGGTTCCATTGCAGCAGCAGCAGCAGCCGCAGCCCAGCGCCGCCGGAGCGCCCAGAGGGATGCGGACCCACAGACACAGCGGTGAGCGGGGGGTCCCGACTCCCACCGCCCCCCCGGCGCCTCCCCTGCACCCCTTGCAGGACCCGCAGCCCCTCTTCCCCCTGTGGTTGTCCCACCACCCACGGATGGGTGCCGTGTGCTCACCCCTAAACCTTTCCTCCCCCCGCACCCCTCGCAGGACCCTGTGACTGACGCAGCCCCCCCGGCGCACAGCTGAATGGAAAGGGTGCAGAAGGTAAACGGGGGGGTGGGGGGCCATTATTATCATGTGGGCGCCTATGGGACACCTCCTTGCGCGGCTGTGGGGCAGCCTTCCTCCTCCTCATCCTCCTCCTCCTCCTCCTCCCAGCCTGGCAGCCCCATCTAGTGGCCCTCCCACCTCCTCTCCGTGCGTCCCCGACCCCTGAATCTCAACGCTGCACTCCCAGCCCACCCCAAATCTCTGCACCCCATCACGTTTCCCCACGTCCTCAGAACAGAACTTTGCCCTAAATGTCCCATTATTTTTTTTTTTTTCACCCTCCCCCTCCCCCCAGCAACCGCTGACCTCCCCTGGGAGCGTCTGCTCCTCGCGTGGCTCCAGCGTCCCCGGATCGCCCTCCAGCATCGTGGTGAGCTGCCTCCCTCCATGGGCACCCCAATATTCCCATCCCAAACCCCAAAATGACGGTGTTATCCCCTCCCTCCATGGGCACCCCCAATATTCCTATCCCAAACCCCAAAATGACGGTGTGTTCTTATTCCTCCATGGACACCCCTAATATTCCCATCCCAAACCCCAAAATAACACTGTTATCATCCCTCTATGGGTATTTCCAGTCTTCCCACCCCGTACCCCAAAATAATGCTGTTATCCCATTCCCCAAGGACACCCCAATCTCTCCGTCCTGTACCCCAAAATGACAGTGTGTTCCCATTCCTCCATGGACATCCCCAGTATTCCCAGCCCATACCCTAAAATAATGACGTTTTCCCATTCCTCCATGGGCATCCCCAGTCTTCCCATCCTGTACCCCAAAATAATGATGTGTTCCCATCCCCCCATGGACATCCCTACCCCAAAATAGCGGTGTCATCCCATCCCTTTATGTGTCATCCCATCCCTCCATGGACACCCCAACCTTCCCATCCCAAACCCCAAAACAACGGTGTGTTCCCATCCCTCCATGGACATCCCCAATATTCCCATCTCCTACCCCAAAATGATGATGTTTTCCCATCCCTCCACGGGCATCCCTACCCCAAAATAACGGTGTTATCCCATCCCTCCATGGACATCCCGAATATTCCCATATCCTACCCCAAAATGACAGCATGTTCCCATCCCTCCATGGGCACCCCAGCCTTCCCATCCCAAACCCCAAAACAACAGTGTGTTCCCATTCCTCCATGGACATCCCCAATATTCCCAGCCCATACCCCAAAATAATGATGTGTTCCCATCCCCCCATGGACATCCTTACCCCAAAATAACGGTGTTATTCCATCCCTTTATGTACACCCCAACCTTCCCATCCCAGACCCCAAAACAACGGTGTTCCCATTCCTCCATGGACATCCCCAATATTCCCAGCCCATACCCCAAAATAATGATGTGTTTCCATCCCCCCACGGACATCCCCACCCCAAAATAGCGGTGTCATCCCATCCCTTTATGTGTCATCCCTTCCCTTTATGTGTCATCCCTTCCCTTTATGTACACCCCAACCTTCCCATCCCAGACCCCAAAACAACGGTGTCCATGGACATCCCCAATATTCCCAGCCCATACCCCAAAATAACGACGTTTTCCCATCCCCCCATGGACATCCCTACCCCAAAATAACGGTGTTATCCCATCCCTCCACAGACACCCCAACTTTCCCATCCTGTACCCCAAAACAATGGTGTTCCCATTCCTCCATGGACATCCCCAATATTCCCATCTCCTACCCCAAAATGATGTTTTCCCATCCCTCCATGGACATCCCTACCCCAAAATAATGGTGTCATCCCATCCCTTTATGTACACCCCAACCTTCCCATCCCCGACCCCAAAACAACTGTGTTCCCATTCCTCCATGGACATCCCCAATATTCCCATCTCCTACCCGAAAATGATGATGTTTTCCCATCCCTCCACGGACATCCCTACCCCAAAATAGCAGTGTCATCCCATCCCTTTATGTGTCATCCCATCCCTTTATGTGTCATCCCATCCCTTTATGTACACCCCAACCTTCCCATCCCAAACCCCAAAAGCTCGGCGTTCTCGCATCCCCCCCCCCCCAGGCCAAGATGGACAACGAGGTGCTGGGCTACAAGGACCTGGCTGCCATCCCCAAGGACAAAGCGATCCTGGACATCGAGCGCCCCGACCTGATGATCTACGAACCCCATTTCAGCTACTCCCTGATGGAGCACGCGGAGCTGCCCCGCAGCCGCGAGGTGGGGGGGTCCCCAAACCCCACACGTCCACCTGGGGGCCAAAATCCCAAAAAAAAAAAAGGATGGAGGGGCGCAGGAATAATTCGCTCCTTCCCTCCCCCTGCAGCGCTCCCTGTCGCCAAAATCCATCTCTCCTCCTCCGTCCCCAGAGGTGAGAAATGGGGTTTGGGGACGCGGGGTGGGTGGGCAGCGGGGTTTGGGGGTGGGGTTTGGGGGTGGGGTTTGGGTGTGGGGTGGGCAGTGGGGTTTGGGATCTGCGTGGGATGGGCAATGGGAGTTGTGTATGGGATCTGCATGGGATGGGCAATGGGATTTGGGCATGGGATGGGCAATGGGATTTGGGTATGGGATCTGTGTGGGATGGGCAATGGGAGTTGGGCATGGGATGGGCAATGGGGTTTGCGTATGGGATCTGCATAGGATGGGCAATGGGATTTGGGCATGGGATGGGCAATGGGATTTGGGTATGGGATGGGCAATGGGATTTGGGTATGGGATCTGTGTGGGATGGGCAATGGGATTTGTGTATGGGATCTGCGTGGGATGGGCAGTGGGATTTGTGTATGGGATCTGCATGGGATGGGCAATGGGATTTGGGCATGGGATGGGCAATGGGATTTGTGTATGGGATCTGTGTGGAATGGGCAATGGGATTTGGGCATGGGATGGGCAATGGGGTTTGTGTATGGGATCTGTGTGGGATGGGCAATGGGAGTTGGGCATGGGATAGGTAATGGGATTTGGGTATGGGATCTGTGTGGGATCTGCATGGGATGGGCAATGGGATTTGGGCATGGGATGGGAATGGGATTTGTGTATGGGATCTGCGTGGGATGGGAATGGGATTTGTGTATGGGATCTGTGCAATGGGATGGGCAATGGGATTTGTGTATGGGATCTGTGGGCAGTGGGAGTTGTGTGTAGGATCTGTGCAATGGGATGGGCAATGGGATTTGGGTGTGGGATTTGCGTGGGATGGGCAGTGGGATTTGTGCATGGGATTTACATGGGATGGGCAGTGGGATTTGTGTATGGGATCTGTGTGGGATGGGCAGTGGGGTTTAGGCATGGGATGGGCAATGGGGATTTGTGTATGGGATCTGTGTGGGATGGGCAGTGGGATTTGGGTATGGGATGGGCAGTGGGGTTTGTGCAATGGGATTTGGGTATGGGGTGGGCAATGAGATGTGTATGAAATGTGCCATGGGATGTGCAATGGGTTGGGTAATGGGGTGCATGTATAGGATGAACAACGGGATGCGTATGGGATGGGCAATGAGATGCGCTTGGGTGGGGTATGGGATGTATATGGAATGTGTTTGGGATGGGTTATGGGATGCACAATGGGATGTGTATGGGATGCTATGGGATGTGTGTGGGATGTGTATGGGATGCTATGGGATGTGTGTGGGATGCTATGGGATGTGTGTGGGATGTGTATGGGATGCTATGGGATGCACAATGGCATGCTATGGGATGTGTGTGGGATGCACAGTGGGATTTGTATGGGATGCTATGGGATGTGTGTGGGATGCTATGGGATGTGTGTGGGATACTATGGGATGCACAGTGGGACTCTATGGGATGCTATGGGACTCTATGGGATGTGTATGGGATGCTATGGGATGCACAGTGGGATGCTATGGGATGTGTGTGGGATTTGTATGGGAAGCTATGGGATGCACAGTGGGATGCTATGGGATGTGTTTGGGATTTGTATGGGATGCTATGGGACTCTATGGGATGCTATGGGATGTGTGTGGGATACTATGGGATGTGTGTGGGATACTATGGGATGTGTGTGGGATGCTATGGGATGCACAGTGGGATTTGTATGGGATGCTATGGGATGCACAGTGGGATTTGTATGGGATGTGTGTGGGATGCTATGGGACGCTATGGGATGTGTATGGGATGCTATGGGACGCTATGGGATGCTATGGGATGTGTATGGGATGCTATGGGACGCTATGGGACGCTATGGGATGTGTGTGGGATGCTATGGGACGCTATGGGATGTGTGTGGGATGCTATGGGACGCTATGGGACGCTATGGGATGTGTGTGGGATGCTATGGGACGCTATGGGACGCTATGGGACGCTATGGGATGCTATGGGATGTGTATGGGACGCTATGGGACGCGCCGGGGGGTCTCACCCGCCGCGTTCCCCCCCAGATGATCCGTGAGTGGTTGGACAGCCGGACCCCCGGCGGCACCTCGCAGCCCCCGCCCCGCACAGCGCCCGGCACGGCCCGCAGCAGCGTGCAGCACTTCCACCGGCCCGGTGCGTCCGCAGCGCCCCCACCCCACAGCCCCGCCCCACAGCCGCCATGGCAGCGCTGCGGTGGGGAGCTGCGGGCTTTTCCCCTTCCCTTTTGCAGAGACCGACACGACGGAGCTCAACATCTACAAGAAACCCCCCATCTACCGGCAGAAAGGTGAGCGGGGTGGGCGCCGTGCGGGGCGCCGGGCGCCGGGCGCTGCCTCACCCCATTGCGCCCCGCAGACCCCCACCCTACAGCGCACCACGGCAAGCACCTCATCGAGGATCTGATCATCGAATCCTCCAAATTCCCGGCCGCGCAGCCCCCCGACCCCAACCAACCCGCCAAGATCGAGACCGACTACTGGCCGTGCCCCCCGTCCCTGGCCGTCGTGGGTAGGTGGGAGGGGGGGGGGGCGAGGAATGGGGTGGGAGCCGGAGAGGTTTGGGGTTGGGTCTCACGGCCCCTCGGGTCCCGCAGAGACGGAGTGGAGGAGGAGGATGGCATCGAAGAGAGGGGAGGAGGAAGAGGAGGATTTGACGGAGGAGATGAAGAACCTGAGGGAGCTGCAGAGGCAGGAGCTGAGCAAGGTGGGGGGGGCGATGGGGGGCAATGGGGTGGGGTGGGATGGGATGGGATGGGATGGGATGGGATGGGATGTGCCATGGGATTTGAATGGGATCCATATGGGATGGGGATGAAATGTGCCATGGGATGTACATGGGATGGATGTGCTGTGGGATTTGTATGGGATCCATATGGGATGCACATGGGATGTACATGGGATGGATGTGCCATGGGACTTGTATGGGATGGGGATGGGACGTGCCATGGGATTTGAATGGGATGGGGATGGATGTGGCATGGGATTTGAATGGGATCCATATGGGATGCACATGGGATCCACATGGGATGGATGTGCCATGGGATTTGTATGGGATCCATATGGGATGCACACGGGATGTACATGGGATGGGATGTGCCATGGGACTTGTATGGGATGGGGGTGGGATGTGCCATGGGATTTGTATGGGATGGGGATGGATGTGGCATGGGATTTGAATGGGATCCATATGGGATGCACATGGGATCCACGTAGGATGTGCATGGGGTGGATGTGGCATGGGATTTGTATGGGATCCATATGGGATGCATATGGGATCCACATGGGATGGATGTGCCATGGGATTTGTATGGGATGGGGGTGGGATGTGCCATGG